GGGCATGGTGCAAAACTGCGCTCTAACGCCGAGCATGGATGCGGACGGAGCCGGTCAGTGGTCGACTGCGGTTGGCACCAAAGTAGATCGCCAGGTGCGGCGGGACGCCCTGCTCGCCGCTCTGTGTAGCCCGCCGCTCGCCGCTTCGCCAGCCCCGGCGCTGTGCATGGTGCTTTCTGAGCCCCCGCCCCGCGTCCCGCCTGCCCAGGCAAGATCAAGTGCGTGGAGTACATGGTGGTGGACGTCATGCTGCAGGCCAACACACCGCTGCGCATCAGCGAGCGCATACAAGAGTGAGCCGACTGGGCGGCATGCACTGACGGGCCGCGCGGCGCCCCGGCTTGCCGCGTGCCAATCGGCCGACGGCCTTCCCCCGCCAAGTGGCGACACACTGAAGCATGTGAATTGGGTCGTTTACAGCGGCCACCGCAGCTCAGTGTGGCCGCTTTCGCCTACTCATATCTCATCTCCTGACTGCACATCGTTGTCCTTCCTGCGGCTCCCGCCCTCCCCAAAACAGCCCTGACGAGTTCCTGGGCCTAACTGATGCGATCGTGCTCGAGGTGCGCAACAGCACCGACCCGGCGCTGGCGAGGGCGGCGGCGACGGCGCAGCGCATCGAGCGGCGCGACGTGTACGCGTTCTGCGCGGAGGTGGGGCAACCTGTGTTGTGTGTATGTGTGTGCGTGTGTGCGTGCGTGCGTCCGTGTGTGTGTGTGTGTGTGTGTGTGAGTGTGTGTGCGCGTGCATGCGTGTGTGTGTGTGTAGTGGAGAGAGGGTGATTGTGCGTGTGTGTGATCGCACGTGCGCATGTGTGTGCCTGTGTGTGTGTGTGTGTGTGTGTGCGCGTGTGCGTGTGTGTGTGAATGTGCGCGTGCGTGCGTGCGTGTGTGTGTATGGGTGATGGCACGCGTCTTTTTGCGCGCCGCGCAGCCCTTCTTGGGCCGAGGTTTGCATGTGCACGGATGAATCCGCGTAAATCAGATCCCACATGTCCACATTCACGCTTGACTGCCTCAAAGGCATGGAAGCGGGCCAGCGGCGTGAAGACTGTCGGCTGTATCTCTGACCACCCCCATCATCGCCCATCACACCTCACACTCCAGATCGAGGTGCCCCAAGAACGCGTCATGGCGTGGGAGAAGATGACCGAGGACGAGGTGGTCGGGCACCAGGAACACAACTGCGGCGTCATGCTGACTGCGGATGACGTCAGGGGTGAGCGCACGGGGTGGTCGGCCGCCGCGTGGCGCCATCAGCGGCTCAGGGGACGGTTAATTATCAGTTCCTGCTGTACACATGCACTGGCGCCTCCAGAGGGCGTGCGGCGCAGGTGGCAGACGCATCAGCAGGGTGCCAGACAGCTGCGCTATGATGCCAACTGCACCCCGTACTGCAAGACTTTACCCAGATCTTTTCCTCGCCACCCCTGAGCTTGTCCTTTTCATCGCGCCGTCCTGACCCCCCAGTCCACAACCTGAAGATCGATTTTTCGATGGGGGGCGAGAACCCCGTGCGCAAGGTGCCCATCTGGCACCGCGACGGCCGATGGGAGTACTGCTGCGAGCGCCCCTTCGAGCCCAAGCTGTGCGTGCAGCGCAAGGGTAGGCGGGCCCTGCGCGCGCGGGGCCGTCTGACGCATCAGCCGGGTTTGAGGGATGCTCGGTGCACACGCACTGTGGAGTGGAGACCACGCCTGCATCGCATGGAGACAGGCTCACGGCTGGCCTCGTTTGTCCGTCAAGAAGCACTCGCATCAGATAACAGACAGCCCCCAAACACCGCCGCCGGCGACGCTCACACGCCCCTCGCGCGGCTCGCGCAATCTTCCGCCACAGTGCGCGTCTACCTGGCTCGAGAGACCGCGGACCGGAGCTCCCGCAACGCCGCCATCCGCGCCGTACAGGCGGCGTTCGCGGCCGCAGTCAAGGCGCGGTTCGGCTCCAGCATCCGCATCATCCTTGGTGGCGAGCGCCAGCCGGCCGCGCCATCGCGCTCGGGCGTCACCGGCCGCAGCGGCGGCGGCGGCGGGGGCGGCGGCGGTGGCGGCGCCGCGGGCCTGAGCTTGTCGCGGCAGCAGGCGTCCCCGGCGGGCGGCTGGGGCCAACGCAAGCGGCTTGGTAGCGAGGCGTTGGGGCTGGAGGGCATCAATCAGCAGCAGCAGCATCAGCAGCAGGCCAGCAATGGCGGAGAGCACCTCAGCACGTGCCAGCAGCGGTGGCGAGGACAGCAGCAACAGCAGGAGCGGCCACAGCCTACGAGCAGCACAGGCCCAACCCTGGTGAGCGGGCCCTCCCACGGCTGGCCACGGCAGGACGGCGCAGCACACGCGGTGGCGGCGACGGCAGAGGGCCGCGGTGCGGGCGCGACCGCGACGCCGGAGAAGGCGCCGCCGGCGAAGCGGCGTGGTGATAGCGATGATGAGGACCAGCAGGATGAGCAGGCAGCCAAGCGGCCTTCCGGCTACGCAAAGCAGCAGCCGCTGCAGCAGCAGCGGCGCTTGTCTCGGGGACCGATTCAGGGGCAGCAGCAGGATGGAGAGCAGCAGCGCAGCGATGACGAGTTGAGGGCGTTCGGTAGCATAGAGGCGGAGGGATTGAACGAGGTCGAAGAAGAGAGCGAGGGCGACGGGGAGGAGGGGATGCTCCTCACGCAGGAGAGCGCGAGTGCTGCGGCAGGCAAGCGCCGGAAGTGAGCTTGGCACGCGACGGCGCCACCAAGGTACCAAGGCCACTTGGGGCCCAAGCAGTCCTGGAGTTGGCACCTCCGCACGTGGTTTGGGCTGTACCCCAGTGGAGTTTACCAGAGTCATGGCGCATCTTTCCGTCCTACTGCCTCCTGTGCGCCCAGCTTGATTCCCTGCTTGTCATGACCCTCATTCTTCTTGGTTACACTCTGCGAATGCGTGCACTTTGCCGCTGTGTGTGCGCCAGCGTTGCGTTGTCTTCAACCTTCCTGACTTCGTTGGGTTTTGTCATGGAGCGCTGCATACAGCGCGCGTCGTGGCCTCCAACGAGGCTCTGGGCGCAGGATTAGCAGCGACCCACGTGGCAGGCAGCCACCTTGGCTGCCCCGACACGGCTCCAACCTAATGCACCCCTTTGCGCATCATCGTGTGCAAGAAGCGTTTGCTGGTGCCGCTCATGACATGTGTAGACAGCCGTCGATGTGTGTTACAAATTCAGCCAGTGATGCCGCGCCAACTACTGGCCATCGACCTTGTTGGGCAGCGGCTCCCCCTCCGGCACAAACTTGAGCGCTGCGCATGCACAGATGATGTGGCAGGGGGCGGCGCGACAGGGTTGGCGTTATCAGGCTTGCAGGGCCGATCAAGGATTGGGGCCCATACTTTCATGAACTCTGTTGGGTTGTGGCTTTGGTTGGGGGATGCGCTCGGGCCAGGAGTATTGTTCCCCACACACTCCCTGCCTGTTGAAATTTGCAGTCCATCCCAAGGTACCCCCAAAGCTCGCCGTCCCTGAGAAGCACCCCCTGCTCCATCCACCCCAAACTCCTGGCCTAATGGCGCCGACAACCGCTCGCCCCGCCGCGCACCGGCCGCGTTGATGCAGTAGCGCTTGCCCGTGGGCGCGGGCCCGTCGTCGAAGACGTGGCCCAGGTGGGCGCCGCTCTTGGCGCACACGACCTCGACGCGCGGCATGAAGGGGATGCTCTTGTCCACCACCTCAACGATGTGCTCGTAGTCAACGGGCTGCGAGCGGTTTGGGGGAGGGGGTGGCGTTGGAGGCCAGGAGACAGCAGCATATGTGTGTGCGTGTGTGTGTGTGTGTGTGTGTGTGTGTGTGTGTGTGTACGCGTGCGTGTGCGCGCGTGCGTGCGCGTGCGCGTGTGTGTGCATGTGCGTGTGTGTAATTGTGGGTGTGCGCGTGTGTGTGAATGGTGGAGCCAGGAGGTGTGAGATTCGCGTGTTCCAGGAGGTGGTGCGGGCTCTTGAGGGGACTCGTGCTCGAGTTGTTGGTTAGTCGTTGGGCACGGCCCCGCCCGTGACCCTCTGCAGGGCTTCAGCAGCACCGCACCCTTCCCTCTAAAGCATTGCTTCTCTCCACAGCGCACCGCGCATCACAAGCCCACCCACTCCCGCAAGCACTCTCCACATCGAGCTTCTGCACCCACAAAATTCATCAAATCAGCGAACAAACCGACGACTGGATGCAATACCAACCTTGTAGAAGCTGGGCCAGCCTGTCCCGCTGTTGAACTTGTGGTCTGCGCTGAACAGCGGCAGGCCGCCGATCGCCGACACATACGTGCCCTTGCCCTTATGGTCCCACGGCAGCCCGTCGGCGGTGCGACCTGTGAAGGCCCGCTCCGTGCCCTGGTTGAGGGTGACGTACCTGCGCAAGGTGCGTCAATCGTTGGCCGTGCTGGGGTTGATCGCGGTTTCGGGGTGCCGCGTAAAAAACCCTTAGATACCACAAACAAGCATGCCCGGGGGGAGGCGGGCGAGCTTCGCGCGGCTCGCGGCGCTGCTGCACCTTTTAGCGTCCAGAGAGCAGGGGTGCATGCAGCAACGCAGCAGCCGCGGCCCACCGCGAGCCCCGCGGCTGTCGCTGCGTCAGCGCGTCCGCCTCGCCCCCGCTCGCCCGCTGCGCACCTCTGGAAGTCTGACAGCTTCTCGGCCTCCTGCTGGCGCTGCTCATTCGTCAGCGGCGTCACGTCAAAACCGCTCTTCGACACCACCTTTTCCGGGGCCCCGGCGGCGGGGCTCGGCCGCCACACGCCCTGCTTCGATTGCTCCGCGCCCATGGCTTGCTTGAAGAGGCCGCCGAATATGGCACGCACGGGCGCAGACGCGCGACGGCTGCGCGGGGAGGCGCGGGTAGCGGCTCCGGTCCTGTAGGATTGTGCGAGGGGGGGAGGGCGACGGTGGTGACCGTCCATCGGAGGCGTCCGGAATCAGGTTCCATGCCACTGGCCGCGCTTTGCGCAGGCTCTGCTGTGTGGGCACTAGCGTTTGCTCTACACCTTCATAATCATGACTGCACGCATCGGCGGAGAGGGCGGCGCGAGGCGCCACCAAACTCCCGTGACCACAAGCGGAGGCGTCAACGTGGGCATAGCGGCGTCGCCGCTGGCTCCCTTGATGCGACCCATGGGCTGCACCAGCAGGTCGCGTTGAGATAACAACGAGTCGATCTTCGTCGTGCTCACACCTGAGAGCCTGCATTCGAAGAGTTGCGACGGGTGGGTGCTGAAGAAGTCGACTGCAGATCACAAGCGTCAATAATGCTATTAACTACGAAGTTTCGAAGCACATTAGCGCGGTCTTGCCCCACTCCAGTGGCTGCATTCTTGATTTTTCGTCCTGGTGACCGTGTCGATGTGGCTCACCGTACATTCTTGACATTCTTGCTCCTATCATCAAGGCGCCGTCGCACATGACCCCCCTATTTTGGACGTTATCATTCAACAATGTCAATGTATCAGAGGTGGTCAGCATAGTTTTTGCAGCGGTGCTGGCCGCAGCCTGCGGCTTGAGCAATGGGCTGGTTGTCGAATGGGAGCGTTCTGAGCATAACGGCAAATCGCCCTGGCACGGCCCATTGGCGCGAGGCCCTCCACCCGAGTGCAGCAGCTCGCCACCACGAGCACACCCGCTATCGTGGCCTGCAGCAGCGGTGCAATGCGGTCAACGATCGGAATGATGGAGTTGTGCTGGAGAGGTGGCAGGCAGGCTGGCCTGAGGTAAGTCAGCGCTGCGGCTGTGGCGATGCGCGCGTGGCCGCCGCCTCCTCTTGCAGCTTTGCCATTTTTGCGTTAGGCCATGCACCCTGCCCATTGCTTGAGATGTTTTGGGACTCTACAACATTAGGTCATCTAAACGCTTTGTTCCGCGCAGTTGGAGGGCGGTGCGGCTGCCCACGCTGGCGGCCGCGCAGGCGCCCCTGGCCACCCGGCCCAGCAGCCTGCTGGTGGCGGGCGGCGTGGCGGGCAGGGCAGCCGCGGCATGGGCGGGGGCGATGCGGCGGCGCGGGCGCTGTCAGTGCAGCTAAAGCAGGGGACGCGCAACGCGCACGACGTCTTGGACATTGTAGAGCGTCGCGCCGCAGATTTGAACGAGGTTCGTAGATGTGTTTGCAGGGCCGGTCGGTCAGGCAATTTTCACATGGCCTCCGCTCGACAAGCTTTGCTGCGCAGCACCTGCAAAATTCAGCACGCCTGCGGGGTGCAGCACGCCGCTGGTCGCTACCGCGCGGCCGTGGTGACAGCTGCAGGCCAGGAAGACGCGCGGCAGACGCGCGCCTGTCCGACGAGCAGCCGGCTGACGCGCAGCCATACAAACCTTTGCCCCCGCCCGCGCAGGTGCACGTGTGCCTCGCGCTCTCGCGCCTGGCGGCCACCCTCCGCTTCGACACCGGCGCGCAGCGCCACGCCGCCCGGCGCCGCCCCGCGTTCTCCGCGCTCCTCGCGCTCGCCGAGGCGCGCGCGCCCGCGCTCAGCGGCCGCCAGGCCGCCATGGCGCTCACCTCGCTCGCCTGGATGCAGGCCGGCGCGCGCGGCGGCCTCCTGGCGGCGCTCGAGGCTCGCGCGCGGCAGCTGCTGCTGGGCGCAGCGATCGAGCCAGAAGACACCTGCCACTGCGCCTGGGCGCTATCAAAGCTGGGGTACCACCCTGGCGGCCTGCTTGAGGACGCCTCGCGCAGCGCGCTGGCATCCGGCTGGCTACGCCAGCTGCCGGCCAAGCCGCTCGCCGGCCTGCTGTGGGCGCACGCGCGCGGCGCGGCGGGCGGCGCGGCGCCCGCGCCATCGCTGCCGGGGCTGCTGCGGGCGGCGATGGCGGAGGTCGCGGCGCCGGGGTTCTTGGAGACGTTTGCGCCCCAGGAGCTGTCCATGCTGCTCTGGAGCCTCGCCACGCTCAGGGGCAGCGGCAGTAGCGGCAGCGGGAGCAGCGGCTGCGTCGGCGACAATGTGGGTGATCACGACCCTAGCAGCGCGGAGGCCGGCGCTGGTTTGCCTCTTCTCAAGCAGCAGCAGCAGCAGCAACAGCAGCATCAGCAGCAGCAGCAGCAGTTGCAGGCGTGCGGAGCGGAGGTACCCCCGGCGCTGCTGGCGCGCATCACGGCGGTCGCGGCCGACAGGGTTGTGAGCTTCACGCCGCAGGGCATTGCCAACACGTGCTGGGCGCTGGCACGCCTGGCGCCGCACGCGCTGCGGCCGCCGGCAGCACCGCAGCAGCAGCAACCGCAGCAGCAGCAGCAGCAGCAGCAGCAGCAGCAGCAGCAGCAGCAGCAACAAGATCCAGACGACGCGCGCCGGCAGCTGTCGCGCCAGGCGCGGCGCCTGCTCCAGGCTTTCTGTGACTCAGCGGCGGCGCAGCTCGAGTACTACCGGCCACAGGAGGTCTGCAACCTGCTGGGGGCTGTGGCAGTCCTGGGGACGCCGCACGCACAGCTGGTTACGGCCGCGCAGGGATACCTGAGGACGAAGGCGCACCTGCTGTCAGACTGGGACGTGGCCGAGGCGCTGTGCGCGCTGCTGCGATTGGGGTCGCCGCCGGACCCCGCGCTGCTGCAGCGCCTGTCGCACCGCGCGGCGCAGCTCGCGGGCGCAGCCGCGCCGCCGGCTCTCGCGCGGTGCGCGTGGGCGCTCGCGCGCGCGGGTGGGGACGCGGCGCCGCTGGTGGCCGCCGCGGCCGCGCGGGCGGGCGGGGGCGACGGGCACGCCTTTCTGGCGGCACTCGCGGCGCGCGAGCTAGCGCTGCTGCTGTGGGCGGCGGCGGCGACGCAGGCGGCGCAGGCGCAGGCCCCTGCACAGCCGCAGCCAGCGGCCCGCTCGGCGGCGCGCCGAGCCGCCGGGGCCGGCGCCGCTGCGCAGCAGCAGCAGCAGGCAGAGCAGCAGCGGGCCAGGGCGCGGCAGCTGCGCGAGGATGCGGCGGTGCTGGCGGCGGCAGTGCAGGGGGCACTGCAGGTCAGGTTGGCAGAGTGTGACAGCCACACACTCACCACAGCCCTTGTAGCTGTCGCGCGATTCGGGCCAGACGAGTCCACAGCCGCAGGCCACGCAGACAGGGCAGTTGGCCGCGGCACGGACGGCTGCGGCAGCAGCTTTGCGGCGGCAGCAGCCAGGCAGCTGGCCCGGCCCGCCGGGGCGCCTGCGCCGCGGCACGCGGCGGCGGCCGCTTGGGCGGCCGTGCGGCTGGCGGCCGACGCGGCGGCGAGCAGCAGCAGCAGCAATCGTGGGGAGAGCCAGGCAACTGTGGCGGCGGCGGCGGGCGCGCTGCTCGCAACCACCATTGACACCCTCGAGCGCACCAGCGGCTGGCGCACCCTGCCGGCGGGCTCGGCGGTCGCACTGCTGTGGGCAGCGGCGGCGGCAGCGCCCTCTGCGTTGTCGTCTGCTCAGCGGGCGGCGGTGCTGCAGGCAGCCGCGCGCTGCGCGCACGCGGTGGGGCCCCGCGAAGCTTCCGCGGTCTGCTGGGCGGCGTCGGCGCTTCTGATGCGTGAGGGGCGCCGGGGGGCGGCGCAGGGCGCGGATGAGGCGGCCCGAGAGCAGCTGCGTGCGGCTGCGCTCGCGGCCCACCGGGCGGCCTGCGACCGGCTGGTCGACTGCATAGATTCATGGCTTCGCCGAGGGGCGCGCGGCGGGCCGCGCGCGGCCGGCGGCGCGGCGGCCGTGCGCAGCAGCCACCTGGCCGCCGCGGCGGTGTCGTGCGCGCGGCTCGGCGCCGCGCCGCCGGCGCTGATGGCGGCGGTGCAGGAAGCTTGGGACGAGCTTATTGAGGCAGGCGGCTGCGGCGACTCTGAGGGGGCCCAGCTGATGTGGGCGCTCGCGCGCTGCGGCCGGCCGGCGCCGCGGCACTGCGTCGAGGCGGCGTCCGACGCGCTGCTGCTGCGCTTCGGCGGCGGCGGCGGCGACATCGGCGGCGGCGCGTCGGCGCGTGCGGACGCAGCGCTCGCCCAGCTGTCGCTCGAGGCGTTTTGGGCGCTGCGCCACCGGCCGGGCGACGCGCTCGCGCGCGCCTTGCAGCAGCGCGCCACTTCGGCCCTAGAGGGCGCCAACGCGGGAGCGGCCGCTGAGCTGGCGGCAGTCTGCAGCGCCGCTTACCATTTGGCGGCGCTCGGCCATGATCCGCGGCGCCTGCTGCGCGCCGCCAGCCCCTCGCTGCAGGCGGCGCTCGGCGGCGCGGCGGCGCTCGGCGGCGCCGCGC